GACTCCAGGATTATGACCTGAGCCGAAGGCAGTCGCTTAACCAACTGAGCCACCCAGGCGCCCTAGGAAAATGATTATATTTTTTAAAAATGTATTTTATGTTTTCGTTTATCTTTAATCCTGTTTTACAGACTTGGGAGAAGGCACTGTGTTGGACAGAATCTTTACCCTCTGTAATGTATACCTATGGGAGTATGGGTTAAAGGTTGAAATTTAGGGCAGGTGTTCAAGAATAAATTCTGCTATTAAACTAGATTTTTGACTTGACTTTTGGCAAATTTTGGGGGAGAGGGGTTGAGTCTTTTAGGTTTATTTTTTGCTGAAGGTAGAGAGATGCTTATAAATGCTCACAGATCACTTCTTCCAGGAAGCATTCCATGATGGCCACTGCCCCAAGTCCATGCTCACTTCCACCTTAACCTAGATCAGTTTATTCTGAAATTATTTCTTTAGTTTTCCTCTCCCCCAGGTTATGAGAGGAGGACAGGTGCTTAATTTTGGGTCCCAGTCCCTGGTGTCTGATAGGATTTCATATGTATTTGTTGAATGAATATAAACAAATAAATTGCAACCTTACTTTGCCTCTTTTTTGTTTGTGTAAAACAGTAGTGGTGAGAATTGGAACAACGTGGCATCTGAGGTGCTAAGTTAAGGGGGTCAGCGCTTCAGCAAGGTAGTGAAAGATGTATTAGGATTCTATTTTTACTGCAGAGCTTTTCTTTAAGAAATAACATAATTTAGAGTAGAGAATGGGAGTCCCTATAATGATGACTGATCACAAAAGACAGTGACTCACAGGAGACCCATAGAGGCAGATGTGAATGAGTAAAAAACACTGTAGCATTGTCTTGCGCAATTTTTAACTGTTCTATGTTCTTGTCATTTTAGCTGTAGAATTGGAGACTGGGAAGTGTTGCATCAGCCCTGAACTTTATTGAGAAAATCATATGCTGATGCAGACTTTCTGGATTATTAGCCCCTTATGAGTAAGTCCCTTTAAAACAGGAACTGTTGGAAATAATTTTGGAAAGAAGTAGTTGTTAATGGTGGCAAATGGAAGAAAAGAGCATTGTTTTCTATTGGGAAAACTGAAGGTGGCTTTTCTACTTGTTAGCTGAAGGGAAATGGTGTCCCAAAAGTCAGAGGGCAGTCCTCCCTCTGAAATACTGAGCTCCTTGGCTGTAGGATAGAAACATACAGAGAGAGTATATAGTAGACAGCCTTTGAGTTGGAAGAGGCAAGACGTTAATACAGTTTTGGGCAGACACTTGCTAGTCTGTGACGTTGGTTGGGCAAGTCACAAAGAGGTTAACTTTTTGATGTGTAGTTTTATGTTGTAAAGAGGGTAATAAAAGCCTGCTCTGCCTGCCTTCCAAGGTTGTTACAAAGATCAAATGAACTAGTCTTTATGAAGTATTCGTAAAGGGCATTTCTTTCTTCTTCCATCTATTCAGTTCCTGGTGAAATAACTTCCAAAGCGTTAAACAAGGTAAAGTGTGATTATCGAAAATAGCTAATTTCTATCCAGAGTTCCTTCCCCTTATCAAGGTTGTTTAGCTTTGGGAAACAGAATTTACAGCAGAAAATTTTAGGTTACATAGGATTTAAAATTTAGGGACTTGGAGGGGGGGAAATTCTGTGGGTAGGAAAATACAGATGCCAGGATGAAGGGAACACAAGGTCACCACCAGAAAGGCATATTTAGATGAGAAACTGGCAGAGAGGGCACAGATTGGTAGATGATTCTGTTCCTGACTGTGGTCTGAATGATTTTATTTTCACTTTTATGGAGCACAATGAATTTGGCTTCAGGAAATACACCAGGCCTCTGCTGCAAGGAAATGAAACTTCCATAAAATCAGAAGGGACCATAGTTAGGGAGGATGCTTTCAGCCTGGGGTGGGAGGAAAGGGAAGGATTTTCCAAACAAAAGGAATTTGAATAAAAAGCCGTACAGGTGAATTGTGGGGAAGTTTGGGGGGGACGAAGAGAAAACAAGGGAAATATGGACGTTCTTGGCGATGTGAAAGGGAAAACTTCTAAAAATCGATAGACTGAAAAAATGCTTACCTAGCTGAAATAGAAACCAGAGGAAACCGACAGTTTGGGAGAGGGTTGTTATCAAATATGCGTATCAGATTTTTGCTGGTCAGTGTGCTGTAGTGTGCTAACACTTCATCTCGGTTTTCTCCTTTTAAAATACTCTTCTGTGAGGTTCATCTGAATCAAGGCCCATTTACTCTGCATTTGGTGCATTTTGTTCTTGAGAAACAAAAGATAATTTTAGTGATATTTGAGGCATAACAACATTTTTTAAATCTGGGAAAGATAATATTACATGTTGAGATCTTTACTGAAAATGGGTCTCTCTTTGACCTTTGATTTTTGGAAACTGTATTCCTGCACAGTTTATTTATTCAACAGTACTCATTAATTCGAGAAAAATGTGTTGTGTACCTACTGGGTGCCAGACACATGCTGGAGATCTGGTGGTCTGCTAGATAGCGCCTGCTTTCATTGAGCTTTTGTTCTGTGGGATTCTGAGGTCTTCCATTTCCCAAGGTGTTGACAAGTCAGAGTCTTTACCTGTCATAACACAGGTGGTTTTGAAGTTCCTTTTGTGGCTTGGATTATTGAGCCTCAGCTTTTTAATCAGTGGCCTTTTTTATATAGTTTTTTAAACTCTATTCATATATCATCAGAATACCTATTCAAATGTGATGTCAAATTAGCAGACCTCATTGCCTTCAGGGCCTGACATTTTAGGCAACGCAGTGCTCAATATCAGGATCTATCTGGGCTTCCTTTGGATGCTATTTGGAAGTTTCTTTAGAATTCCAAGTTATACTGACTACTTTAGAAAATTCCTTGAAGATATTTGCATAGGCAAATGCAGACCAAATGATAGTTCCTCATTTTATAATAAGATAATAAGTTTTCTTGAAATCTGCTTTTTTTAAAGATTTTATTTATTTATTTGAGAGAGAGACGAGAGAGCACACACAGAGGGAGAAGTAGGCTCCCCACTGATCAGGGAGCCCCATGCGGGGCTTGATCCCAGGACCCTGGGATCAGGACCTCAGCCGAAGGCAGATGCTTAACCAACTGAGCACCTAGCACCCCAAGTTTTCTTGAAATCTTATCACTTGTCTTCTACTTACGTATTTTTCCCCACTTGTTTTTGAAACCTGTAATGGATGCAGTTACAAAAGTCTGAGTTGGAACGTTTTAGATAATGGTAATTAGTTAATATAGAGATTGTAAGTAAACTGTACCTATTGAAGTCAATTTTTTTGCAGACTGATTTAGGGGCTGGTGATTTTTTTTTTTTTTGAGAAAGAGCGTGCAAGTGGGGAGGGGTAGAGGCAGAGAGAGAGAGAACCTTAAGCAGGCTTCACACCCAGCACAGAGCCTGATCTCACAACCCCGAGATTATGACTTTAGCCGAAATCAAGAATTAGATGCTCAACCGAGTGAGCCACCCAGGTGCCCCTAGGGGCTGGTGATTCTTAATCCTAATTTATCACCTCTTTTGAGGATTATCCCACTAGGAAGATTTCTTGTAGTAGGAATACAAATAAGAAGCTGGCTATAGTTACTTGGAAGAAACATGGGATTCTGGGGCTGAAGTTTATTTTAGGAGAAAAGATCTTATGTGTTTTGCTCCTTAGGGGAATATCGTAAATATTCACCTATGTGTACACAGCTTCCATATATTTGTGATCTTAATAAGATTGTTCAAAATATGGATTGTTGATTGGTGGTCTAAGTGGGTTCATTTGGGCCAACTAGAACAAACCTGTTTTCTACTGAGGCAGGTAGTGGTTCCTTTTCAAGCTGCTGGAGGTGTCTAAGCAGCTTCACATGAAATGAGGCTCCTTTATGCCCCAGCTTTTGGCATCCTGAAAACAGGAGAGCTGAACTTGAATATTGTTTTAGAACTCAGAAGTGCTTGAGTGCTTGCGGGTGTTGTAGAAGAGAGAGTAATAGTTTTTTTCCGTTGTTTTTCCCCTGATATTGGAAGTCATCCTTGTCAGTGACTTCTTTTACAAGTAAGGTGCACATGGTAGGGGAAATTAAGGTATGACTGTCATCGGAGGAGATGACAGAGCCCTTCATTTTCACTTTGAAAATTTTGACTAAGGACTAAGGGACAAGCACTTTATCTGGGGTAAATACGTGGACCTCTGGAGGGGAAGAGTTTGTGCAGATTGACCATTTAGTCTCCAGCTGATCTTGCTGACTACCAAATTTGGGGTGAGTCTGTTCATTTCCAGCTGAAGATCAAACTGTCAAGTACTTTCTCCTGCTTACCAAGAGTACATTTTTACTGTTGTCTTCAAATAATTGAGTAGTTATTTTTTGGTGGTTA